GAATGGGTCCGCCCTATAGAACGGGCTGTGACGTGTGTGGGGCTGAAGACGAATTCTTGGCCTAAGGATGGAGCCACTGAAAAAGCAAGAAACGCACACTCTGCCTTAAATTTGCTCGGTTTCACCAAGCAGGCTAGCCTGTGTAGCATTAGAAACAGCAACAACATATTCTGGATAATGTTAATTTGTAGTGGTAGTTGTGAAAAAGTAATCAATATAAGAACTATAATATTGATGAATTGACGTGCCGACCCTTTCTTTCTTTTTTTTTTTGCTGTCGTTCCATATCTGAAAATGTTATAATTTAAAAACTACGATACTGAAAGCTTTAATTTTTGAAAAATACATACCTGCCAACTCTTCCGGATTTTGCGGGAGATTTTATTTTCATATTTAAAGTGGTAGTAAATATATACTATTTTTTTCTTTTATAAATTTAATTTTTAAATGATTTTGATCACCACTATTCTTACAAAAATTAAGCTTATATATTAATATGCGTTACTCAGAGATGCCAACTGCTCCGGACGCTCCAAAATAATTAAAAAAGCGGTAAATAATTACAAAGTAAATTTCGCAAATATTTGACTATTTTTACTTGCTTTTTAAGAGGTATAGCATGACATAAGTACTGTAAAGTGGTGAATTATATAAGTCTACGAATTATTTAGAAATAGTAGTGAAATAAAATTTACTAAATTGAATTTATTAAACCAAAAATCACAATTAATAAACTACCACTTTAAAATATTTATTTGCTGTCCGGAGCAAGTTGGCATCTCTGGTTACTATCACGGTTGTCAACTTAATTTTTTTTTTCAAATACAACGTATTTGTTTGCTTAAAATTGAAGGTTTAATTCCATTTTAATACCACTGGGAAAAATGATAATGGATGGGATTAAAAGTTGGCAGGTCTGAAAATATATTGATAAAGCAGTTCTCCTCATTTCTGATATGAATATAATTACCACAATTCTTATGAAACTTAAAGACTAAAATTTTGATTCGCGTTTCTTCATCCCACAGAGATTTTATTTTTAAAAAAAAAGAAAAAAGATCGAAATAATAAAAAAAAACCTTTTCCATTAAACCATTCCCAGCAGCGGGAGGGGGCAATTCTTTTCGACGACAAAATAAAGTGCCTTTATTATAAAAGTAATTAGATATTTGTGAGGATAGTGGATTTTTTCTTTTATAAGTTAGCAACTTAAGATTTTTTTTTTTAAATCGCAATGATATCGATGTAAATAAATTTATATTAATTAAGTGTTATATTATTTATGAACGTTACAAGTTTTGCAAAATAAATGCTAAGAGTGAAACACTTATCCCTTTGAAAAAAGGATTCGTTCCTTAATTGTAAACCTCCCTTAATGTTTAGTAAAAATTTTGAAATTTCGTTTAATGCCTTTAAAATGCATTTTGGATATTATTTTAAAGTTCTGTAATAATCCAATAATAATCTTTAGCTTTTCTCCTGTTTTCAAATTGATTTTTAAATAGCGAAGATTTTTAAATAACGAGCGTATAACGAAGATTGTTTTCATACATTAAATATTTTGAAAAAAGATTAATACGATTCCTTTACAATTTCCTTTTTATAGCAATTTTATTTATGCAGCTTAATTGTTATGGAAACCAAAAAATATATTTTATTGAACAAATTGTTTTCAATTATTGTAGATTCATTGTAAAGTACTAAACTTTTCTTCTAATTTTCGATTCTTTTTAATCAAATCTTCTAATTTTCGGTTCTTTTTAATCGTAAAATGCTTTATTACAATTTTGTATTTTAATTAAAATATATCAATATTTATTCTCCAATAAGGCTTACATTAAAATTCATTTTATTTTGTAGATATATTTTCATAAAAAAAATAGAAATCATGCTTAATAAACTATTGCTTAATAAGTTATCAAGTTTATCCACATTAGCCCCGTGCAGTGCGGATAAAAACAGGCTTTTTTAATCAAATATAAACAAGAAAGCAAATAAACGACCAAATTATTGTTAAAGAAAATGCTTAGTTAATTAAAAATTATATTAAATGTGGCGTTTTGATAAATTTGTAAATAAATGTTCACATTAGTCCCTCTCCCATATCAGTATTGAAATCAGAAACAATTCATGTATCGTTATAGAAATCGGGCACAATTCATGTCGGTATCAAAATCAGGTTCAATTTATGTATCGATATCGAAATCAGGCTCAATTCATGTATCGGTATCGAAATCAGACACAGTACATGTATTGATATTAAAATCATGCATAATTCATCTATCAATATTGAAATCAGACACAATTCACGTATTGGTATCAAACTCCAATACAATTCAAATATCGGTATCGAAATCGCTCACAATTCATGTATCGTAATCAGACGCAGTTATATAAATGATATCGAAATCATGCATCTATCAGCATTGAAATCAGGCACAAATCAAGTGATGGTATCGAACTCGGGTACAATTTATGTTTCAGTGTCGAAACCAGCAAAATCGTACGAGGCAGAACAATTTATGCTTAGAACAAATTATTTATGCACGCACCTACGCAAAACAAATTATGTCCAAGTCTCGCTAAAAAATTAAATTTTTATTATCAGTTTTTGCTTTATTATATTGGAATTTATGCATTATTTGATTATGCACTATTTAAGGTTCCTTTCTTCTTTTTTTTTCATTTTTGGTTACTTTAGTTTGAAAAATAAAAATAATTGGCGGTGAAAAGCTGTTAGTTTAACTAAAAACACTTTTTTTTTTACAATGCTGGCTGAATATTCGTACTAAACAAATCTTTTTGCAGAACATTCTATGTAATTCTGCCAAGGTTGTACATTTATAAGCAACGTTTTTTCAAGTAATCTAAAAATGAGAAAATAATTCTACTTTTACCACGCTAAACCATAACTTCCTTTCTAGATGGTATGGCTAAATGCAGAGAGCATCATGTTGGTAGTAAACTTTTATCACCTCCAAAACTTACACCAAATTTTTTGAAAGCCGTTTTAAATACATTCCACTTTTGCAATAATATACGATTTTTATAATGATAATGGATACTTTTGCAATGATTCAGCTGTTGTAGATCAAAATTTTAAAAAGTGGCTAACAAAATTTTACCAAAGCTAGCGCAAACTTGTTGCTGCAGCTACAGATTAAATTTTTTTTCCACAGGTGAAACTAGTTTTTGGCAAAATTCGGGGTCTGTTTTATATCATTTGTCTTAGATAGTAAATTTCAACTCTACTGATGTAGTGAAATACCTGAAATTTGCATAAACTCTCCGTTCTAAGTCACCCCATATGTTTACTATTGAGTTAAGATCTGGAGACTTAGCTACCAGGAGACCAGAAGATAAGGGGGCTCTTGGATCAAGTACTGTATTGGGAGACATTTTGGTTTCGTGGAGAACTTTTTGATGGAACAAACCCACATTTGCGTTTCATGGAGAGGAAGACCACGAGAGCCTCCCACGGTTAGCCTAACGGCAAGGGGACTCAGACCCATGATCCGTCTACCACTGAGGATATTTCACGTCAGCACTGTAGCTGGTGCAAGCCGGATGCGGAATTCATATCGACCAACCATCGCTGAGATTCGAACCCGGTTCATCTAATTGGAAGGCAAACACTCTATCCCCTGAGCCATGAAAAAAAATTTGGGGGAAGGGGGGGACTTTGAGGACTTTGTTACCCCAACAGACTTAACGTGCACCAGTCAACATTTAATACACGGGGATTCTTCAGCCAGCTGGATTTGAACTCCCGTTCTCACGAACACGAGTCCAACGCCCTATTAGCCAGGTAATCCCGGCCTCGAACCTGCACCATTGTAACCGAAACATTCTCCGGTCATCACAAAGCCTCAGCCTAAAGGGAGTTTCGAGAATATTTCTTCTTCTTCTTTTAAATTAGAAGTTTAAAAAAGAAATTGGAAATTTTAGCGAGAATTGTTGATTAAATTTTAAATTTCAGTATAGCTTATCATCTCTCTAGAATATCTTTCTTTAGGATATCTTTTCATAACTTAGTCAATATATTGTAGCTGAATTTTTTATTTATTTCTACTTTTCTTTTTTCATCTGCATTATTTTAAATAATTACACATAAATAATCAAAATATTTTATAAATTATGATTTATTTATAGGTAATAAATATAATAGATAATTGTAGATTTAATAGATAATAATGGATTTAATGGATAATAATAAATTGATAATAGATTTCAGAACTCGTTTCTGGTATATATAAAAAAAGTTCTAACCCTCGGAACCCATGTGATCCTTTCACGGCGCACCTTTTTGGGAACCGCTGACTGTAAATTTATTTGAAACAGAAAACGATTTTCAATTAAACGTTTTAGAATAAAAGAAAACCGCACAAAAAAAAGTAAGATGAAACTTTCTCACCAATTTTGAATAATTTAAAATAAAAAGAAAAGGTAAAATCAATTCTCCCTGTCATCCTCAGAAATTACTCCAACGAATCAAACACATTTAGTATTTATATAATAATTCATTATTCTATTTCGTGTTTTTCGATAATAATTAACATTTAACGATAATAGTTGGTCGATAATTTAGGGTTCCATAACCGAAAAAATAGGAAACTACTCCTTTTAATAGGAAACTACTCCTCAAACTCAGCGTGAGCATAACAGCATACCATTATTAAAACTTCTAAGATTATTATTTTAAAAAGAAAAAAAGCGCAAACGATTTTTAATTTAACGCTTTCATTTGAAGAAGAGCGCAAAAAAAAGTAGGATGAAACTTTCTCACCAATTTAAAATAATTTCCCAAGCAAAAGAAAAGGTAAAATCAATCCCCCCTTTAACCTCCTGGAAATCCACCTACGAATCAAATATGTTTAGTATTTATATAATAATTTAATCTTTCAGTTTCTATTTCTTCTAGCTTGGAATTTTTCAAAGGAGCCGCCGCCAATTCCTACATACTCAAAAAATGGGTTATTTGAGATTGGCAACCTCTTGGAAGTGGAAGTAGAAAGGGGGGGAAAGAGTGAAAGGGCTGACGGCTTTTCATAGGTCGACCCCCTCCTCTCTTCATTTCATTTCCTCTAAGAATTCACTCTCCTTAGGATGCGATGATCTAGTTTTATAATATGTCATCTCTATATAAGGAGTAATTCCTTATTCATTGGTCAGTATTGTTGTTTGAACGCGAGTGAAATTCACAACTTGTTCTAAAACAGGTAAGTCTTTCTCTGATTGTTGAATTATAATTGCGTGGAATTTAATTTTGATATATGTTCAGTTTCAAAAAAAAAATTGCATAAGCAAGTTCATGCGATAACTTTTTTTTTTCAAATAAAAACTTACTTAAAGATAATTTTAAAACTGAAACTTTTTTTTCAATTCGTACATAAACCTTAAATATTTATCGTCAGCAACTTTTTTTAATCTTAACTTTTTGCTTGCAGCTGGTACTAATGGTTCAGAATAGTAGGTTTAAAAAAAGGCAAAAGATAAATACCATTCAAAGAAAAGCAATACATGCGAAAGTATTACATGCTAAGATTTAAATTTTAGAGTGATTATCAAACTCTTGTTTTTAATTACTTAAAATAAATTTTATGGATATACGTCCAATATAAGTTATGGAACAAACACCTTAAATTTATACTAAGAACTCTTCTTTGGCCTTATAAGATCCCTTTTTAAACCCATTAATTACCGGATTGCAATTTTTCAATAATTCGAATATTAATATGAAATATTGTTAAATCAACAAATAAATTAATTGTAAAAAAAAATTTTCTTGAAATTTTTTGACTTATCGAAAAAAAAGACTAAAAATGTATGAAATTTAGGTATACAAGACAAAGTTCTCAAAAAATATTAAAATCCAAAATATTAAAATCCAAAATAAGTATTGCAACGATTTTAAAAACATTTTTGTTTGAATTAAAACGAATAAATAATCCTGAAACTCATTTAATTCATTCATTAAATTTTATATTTATCCAAAATAAAATATGAAACCTTTAAGTTTTACAAAGAACTCTTTCCTTGTTATTTAAGATCATTTGTTTAACACAGTTTAATGTTTATTTTGAAATTCTTCAATAATATTTCTTTTCCTTTTATATATTCGAAAGTAGAAAATTAATTTAAAAAACAGCACCTATAAAGTTTTTTGTTTCATCTAAAAATTCTTACAATTTAGGAATGTAATCGAAAATTTAAAAAACTCTCAAATTTTTAAATTATTTGAGATTCTAGAAGGAAAAAAAATTCTTTTAATTGTAAGAGCATTTTATAAATTTAAGTTATCAAAAAGTAAGTTTTGAATTGATGGATAAAATTCATTCTTTTTTCTTTTTTTTAAGAGCATTTTTTTTTTCTGTATATCATGAAATTCTCACAAACAAAAATATTAAATACGTAAAGAGTAAATTTCCTGAGCATTATCAAAATTCAAATCTATCATTAGTTTTATAGCAAATGCTTATCTATTTCTTTTTCAATGAAATAATTAAAATAAAACAAAAAATTTTGTAGAATACAATTCATTTAATGATTTCTTACAAATACACAATTTACCCAATTAACCAACTCATAATATGAATCTAACATTAGTTAACAGATTTCTTACGAAACTAATCAAGTGATAAAAACATTTTATACAACAACTAAATAAGATGATTTTACTTAAATAAATAAAAATTATAATAAAAAATCAAACAAAATAATCCACTAAATCTTGTTTTTCGCTATTTAAAACTGTGTTTAACACTAAATAATAATAAAACTATATATTCATAGTTATAACTCTCTTACTATTACACCCTAATCATTATTATGAATTTTCAATTTATTTCATAAGTAACTTTATGAGTGTGCACATTATTCTGCATTTTATAAGCATATCATTTTGAGTCCTAATGTTAACTAAGTGCAAAAATACTTTTCCTTTAATTTTTTTAAAAAAAATTGTTCTTGAAGGTTGTTTAAGCATTAAATAAAAAAAAAAACAAGCGATTTCATAAAATGAAATATGACAAAAAAAATTCCCGTCTTGAAAATCTTATTTCCAGTTTTCAAAACCTTGTTTCAGTTGAATACTACAAACTAATTAGGAAATCAATAGGTTGCATTATTTATAAATTAAGTTCTCAACTAATCATATTTTTAATCCTAAATCAGGCAAAATATTTATGCATTCAAGTTTTTATTGACATTTAAGGAAGTAAGATTTACAGTGAAAACTAGACAAAAATTGAAATTCACTACCATGACGGAAAATTCTTAAATGATCAGAAGTTTTGGTACCAAATTTGGTATTAAAGTCTCAATACAAATATTGTTTGACAATTGTATTTAAAATACAGTGTTTTGATTTAAAAAAAACTCACAAAGCTGATAAAAATTTTAATGTGACATAACACTACAACATAAAAGAAAAATATTAAAAACTCAAACGAAAGAAGTTAGGATAAAAGGATTAGAATATTAAAAGTCAAATTTTGTTTGACAATCGAAATAAAATTTAATTGTATATAAAACAATTTACTTCTTAAAAATTTAAAAACAGAGAAGGTTTTAAAATAGAATAGGACATTGGATTGATAGTAAGTTAAGAAATACAAAAGAAAAAATTATAAAAAAAGAAAAAATTGCATAAATCTCAAACTTAATATGAAAATTTTTCATAATAAAAATAATTTAATTGCATAGAAAATATAATTTTCCTTTTAATAAAAATCGCAAACTGAAAAAAAATAATTTAATTATGTTATAGCACTATAACAAGTTTCAAGCCCTACAGAAGACACTATATTTCATTCAAAGAATTTCATAAACGGAAAAGAAAAAAAAAATTTTTAGTGATACAGCATTATAACAAGCTTCAAACTTAAAAGAAACAAAATAAGTACTTTAAGGTTACACTGAAAATAGTTCAGAAAATGGTATTTATGATACTTGCACTAGTATCCCTAAAATAACTATTTAATCTTTAATTTGAAACTTTAAAATAATTATCTTTTTATACTAATGTGCCTTTTAATATCTGTAGTATACAATTTATTTAAAAATGCAACTATTTCACCACGATAAATGAAAATTATAAATGACAGAACTATTATCAAAACAAAATTTCCCTTCATATAACAAGTATATAATGCAGTCTGGTATCTTCTAAATATGTATAAATGATAGCTTTTCTTTGAGTATTATCTTTTAAAATGCACATTTTTATTAAATCTTATGATATCAAAAACAATATGCAGCAATTTGTGTTGTAATAATTAGGTAAATATTACGCAAGGCATTAATTATGTCAATTTAATCAGAAATAAAAACAGCAATCAATTTAAACTTTCCACTATGAACTTAATCAAACATCATTCTTATGAAACAATATACTAAATCTTTTGTCAATGCATAACTTAATATTTAAAATGTATGTCAAGACACTTGTATATCTTTAAATTCATGTACCAGATTTTTTTTAGAAAACAAAATGATCTACACAACTACAGCATCGTTACTTCTGATGGCCACAGTAGCTCTGGCGCAAAGTCCATACCAGATATTTGGTGATGGAGGCGGAGGAGGAGGAGGACAAATACCACTTGGTTTAGGATCGCCTCAAGGATTTGGTGCTGGAGGACACCCATTTGGTGGAGCATATGGTGGCATGCCTCTGTTCGCTGGAGGTGAAGGTGGCGGATTTGGAATGCCAGCTGGCCTTGGTTTTGGAGGACCCATCTCAGCATTTGGACCACCTGGAGGACCAGTACCAAGTCAATTTGGTGGTGGTCCAGGATACGGAGGTCCATCTGGATATCCTGGAGGCAGCTATGCCCCTCCCAGTTATCCCAGCAGAGGTGGTGGGGGTGGTGGAAGTGGAGGATACACCATCCAAGGGATTGGCCTTGGTGAACGAGGACTTGGAGGACTTGGAGGAATGTAAGTTTCTAGAATGATTTCAGTTTAATTCATATTGTAACATGCATTATATTAAGAGTAACTGAATCACTTAATGCAGAAAGGATTTAAGTTCTAATTTATGCTTAAAGGATTACGATTAGTAGGGTAATGTTTTTAAGCTCTTTGATATAGAGTCATTCAATTTTAAAATATGTTACTCAAACAAGAATTTTAACTTAGCGCTTTTAGGGCTCCAAATTTGCTCAACAAAGATCCTACAACAACATACACCATGGAACAAATATTGGGATGTCTAGTTTTGCCATAATGAACCAAGATAGGCTTGTGATATCAAACCAAGATTCCCTTCTATCAAGGATCAATTTTAAAAAATTTAGACATTCCAATATTAGCTCTATATTGTAGGCATACAAAGGACCTAGACAGAAATGAATCTTGGTGCAATATTTAAAACTACTTTAGAACCAATATTACAAAATATAGTCACCCCAATCTTGGACCTATATTGTTATTATTAACTTATTCGGGTCTTTGATAGAAATGAATTTACATCCAATCTCCCAAGCCTATCCTGATACATTAGGATAAAATCTAGATATCCCAGTATTGATTCTATGGTTCTCGTTCAAGTAAGACCTTTATTAGACCCCAGTGAGCACAAGATTAGTTGCTAGGATAGAATTAGTTTTATGATGGATAAGTTTAAATCTTAATGAATTATATGTGTCCCTTAACATAGGTATAAATTAAGAAAATTAAGTCACTGGTCCAAAGGACTAGTAACTATAAAATAGTAAGGGCCTGTATACTTTTCCATTGGTCGGTTACATATTGTTATTATAAAAAAAATTTTAAAGTTATTAAAGTGAATTTAATTGAAAAGTTATAATACAGATATTACATAATACTACAATCGTGATAAAGTATACTAATTCGTGACATAAACATAGATTAAAAAATGAAACAAAGTACTGCTAATTTTTTAAATTTTATTTTATAACCCAACAGACTACCCAATTTTCAGCTTATGACTACTGAAGTTCAACTCCGTAGCCTTGAAATTTTGAACCCAATTCAGAAGACAAGGGGACTCCTAGTTTAAGTATTGGGAGAATTCCTCCTTCGTGGAGGACTTTTCATGGAACTAACCAGCATTTGCGTTACATGGAGAGAAAAACCACGAAAACTTCCCATGGTCAAGCTGAGGGCAAAGGGATTCTAACCCATTATCTGTCTACCACTGTCGATATTTTACATCAGCACAGGTCGGTGAGAGCCGACGACAAAATTCGTATCAACCAGCCTTGACTGGGATTCGAACCTGGTTCACCTCATTGGAAGGCGGATGCTCTATCTCCTGAGCCACCACGGCCCAGGACCACTATTAATTATTTAATGGTGGTCTGAATGAATTTTTAGTGATATTGAGGCCCCATTGATTTTCTAGCTCTGCATTACCAATGCCGTTTAAAGATAGAGCCCAAAAAATGGGGCCACTCTGCTTGGACATGGTTGGGCGATGCATGATCATATGGTACAGTTAATCCAAAGCTTGCAACATTTGTACTAATTTAATGCCACAGTAATTTAATGTTGTTGTTTTTTTCTAAATTTCAAATTTGCACTTATATCAAAACATCAACTTTAAAGAGTATTAAAATGTCGACACGGAAATTGAGATTATTGATCTTGTTTTCTTTCAGCTCACTTGGTGGACGGTCCCTCACAAGCCTCCTCCAAAATTTGGGGAGGTGATGAGATGAAGATAGATTAAGAAGACTGAATGAAAGCATAATAATATATGCCTGTAAATAGGACTATGCCTGTATCTTTGACCAGGCAGTGGGGTTATTGGTCTTAACCATTAACAAAACTGCATGCTTTTATCTTTTCTAAGTCTTTTGTAAATAAGAGTTCCTGATTTTTCTGTTCTTATTGTTGGATGGATGAATGTGATATATTTTATTTGTTGTACATAGACATTAATAAATTGATAATTTTGTTTGTATTGTATTTAAAATATTTTCCTTTTGAAAACACATTTTTTAATTCTCTGATGATTGAAAGAATTCAAAGCTCTTAGGGTGAATAGGCAAATCTTTCAACAAAAAATAAGCACCTTTTAAGTACTTTTTAAGCACTCAAAAAAATATTTTTAAGTACTATATACATTAACAAAATTCAAAATAATTTTCAGATTTTACATGATCGTGATAAAATAACTAGTTTCTGACAAAGAACTCTTTTCATGATTATATTAAGCACCATAAAAAGATAGAGATTTTTCGGTTCGATATCAGAGAGTGGAAAATGAAGCCTGAAATCGAGAATATCTTGCAAAATGCAGCAGAGGGGCACAAAAGAGTGCAAGAATCTCACCGAACCAAGCTCAGTGGACGCACGTGCGGACTCGCAAGTATTTCATCAAAATTTGTAAAATGATTGGCGCTTTCATATGCTATGGGCCGACGGTATGCCAGAAACGATTGTGTTTGAATAAATTGTGAGAATGTTGAATAGAACAACGTGAAAAGCACGCTTTTGCATAATAGTACATGGCGAAAATCGACATAGTTAAGAAAAAAAAATCTCATTTTCGAAAAGAGAAAAATAAGCACTTTTTAAAAACACCCAATGAAAAAAGTACGTTCAAGGACTCTTAGAAGACTAAAATTACCTTTAAGTACATGCTTTTCAACAGAACAAACTTCCTAATATGATTGTGGTTCTCAATTAATCTGTTCGAAAAATTCTAATTTGAACGAAAAGTTCTAAACATTTTTTGAAAACTTGTTACCGCCAACAACAATTCAAAAACGTATAATATTTATTATTTGTAAAAGAAATTATAATTTTATTTTATAAAGTAACAATATATATATATATATATATATTTATAACTCGTATTTATATATATTGAGTATATTATATAGAGTAATAATATATATATTTATGTATCACATTGGACATAGAATTTAACTCTAAATAATTTTTTAAGAAATATCTGTTTTTATATTACAAATATAAATATGTGCAAACATTTTTTTAAAAAAATGTTTAATCAATAAAAATTAATATTGTATAATTTATAAAATGTTTTATGGTTTAGTTCTAAGTTTACAATCATTAATCTATTTAAAATTACGGTGCAAAGACAAAAATATTATCTTTAAAAATGAGTGCCACTGCCAAGGGAAAGGTAGGGGAGATTTATGCCTTAATTATTGCCTTATATCATGCAATTTCAAACAAAATAGAAAGTAAACAATGATTTAATGATATGGACTCATATTTCAAGGAATAGCGTATATTCTCAATTTTATTTAAATTCTCTTTGAAATGGGGAAAATAAAAATTTGATAATACTATTATGAATCTTAAATAATTTAAGTTTGGTGTTGCTATTGTTTTGCTAAGCTATAGATATATAGCTATAAAGCTTTTACTAAGCTCAGCTTTGCTAAGCATAAAGAATTCAGCATAAGTAAAACGTGGTTCTGAATTTACATACGTAATTAAATAAATAATAAATTTATTGATCAATATTTATTAAAGAAATTAACATTAACAACAAAATTTTCACAATCCTCATATATTCATAAAAATGCCCTTCTTTCAAGTATTTTTGTAAATAACTTGATGGAATTTTAAAAAAAAAAATTTAAAAAAACTTTAGAACCACAATAGATTGTTTCTCAAGTGAAGAATAGATACGTGAAAACGATGAATGAGGGTTAACATAAATAATGACTTGAAAATGTATGAAAAATAACAAAGAATGGACATGAAAATTAATAATTAAAAAATAATTATGTGCGCAATGCAAAAATATTTACTATGCAAAAAAATGTGAATAAACACATATATTTATATAAAATATTTGGAAAGTTCGGTCACTTTTTTCATCTAAGTGCATACAAATTTCAACATTTATATTCATGAATACCTTTAGAAAAATTTAATTTTTGGAGTACAAACTGTATAATGCATGCTATAGTTTAAGAAAAAAAAGCACGTAACTTTTTTTCATAAAAGTGCATAGTATTAAAATAAATAAAAAATGTTTTCCTTTCATATTTAAATATATATTGAAGCTCGTATAAAAAAAATAACTCTAAAGTTACTAAAGGCTCAAGAGAGTTTATGTATATGAAGGTGGTATTCCTGGAAAATCCAAAAATGTAAGGATTCAAATTTATTTTGCATATCATTTTTTAAAATTGAAATAAACAAAAAGTTTCTTTTTTGCTATAATTATGCTTGTTGTGAATAATATTGAATTCCATCAGATTCAAGAGTTTAACATAACGATAATAATTTTAAATATGCATATTTTTATAATGTTATTTAAAAACAGCTTTGATAAGTTGTGGTTTTCAATTCTACAACTTCACATTTTATTTAGCCATAATTTTATAAAATAAATAGCAACTATATTTACAAGATGTATTTATAAAAACATTGAACAGTAACAATAGAAAAGTTTTTTTTCTTCTAATGAAAAACTTAATAAAATAAAACTATCTTTTGTATTTAACTAAGATAAATTCACTTTAATATTTTGATTGAAAAATGTTAAATAAAATTACATACATGTGTGTGTTTGCTGTTATTTTTTGAAACTTCAAATTCGCATCTATCCAAATATTATTATTAAGAAAAAAACTTTTAAATGATTTTGTGGAAATATTTTCTGTCAAATATTTTTTTTTTTTATTGTTCCTCCATTCCTAAGAAAACTATGGAAATGGCATAAAAAATATTTTCACTTGCTACACTCTAAACATTGAAAATATTTTAGCAAAATAAAAATTCATTTCTAAATTGTAATTTTCAAGAAAATTGTTTAAGTTGAAAATCTAGAGAAACATACAATAATATTTAATAAATTAGATTTTTTACAACTGATTAACTTTCAAGATTATAATGAACATATTTTGCTATTATGTTAAGACGCAATTTATTATAAAGGTTAAAAAACTAAGTTTCTAAGTTAAAAGTTAAACAAAATTAATTAAAATAGATATTTTTTCTTTTGCATATTATTTTAATCTCATATCAAAACTTTTAAAATCGTTTTATCAGTTAATCCAATATATTATTTGTCAATACAATTTCACATTCTGAATCATAAAAAATTATAATTTTGGATTTACATACTGAATCCTATAATCGTTTATAATTTTTACAGTTTACAATTGTTTTGATATTTATAAAAGTTATTAATTTATAATTAAAAATTTCTAGATAATCATATATATATATATATATATATATATAACTGACGCTCAAAGTGAGTCCTACATTAGATGTTTTCCGAAATTTTAAAATACAAAAACAAACAAAACTAACACATAAAATGATACAAACTCACAAGTAAAGACTTTCATTTTAATAAATGGAGACGATTATTCATGAAATAATAATTAATCATTCGCATTTTTATCTTGTGGATTTGGAAATCAATTTCTCAGAATAACTTGCCAGAATGTGGATGAAATGACTACCTGTATTGCAAAAGATATGCAGGATTTCTTCAGAAAACATGAATCTTTACATTCATATCCAGAGTAAGATAAAAAATCAATAAATAAAACATCTGTGTTCATAATCCTAAAGTATTTTCAAACTAACAAACTCATAATATTGCTTACTAACGGAATTTTATTACAAAAATGCTTAACATTTTTAAATATCCCCAACATGCCTGAAAAAAATATACGAGATATATGAGAAAATATATGAGAAAAATAAATATCCAAAAGTTACATCAATAATCCGTTTCTCATTTTTATAATCAGTGAAATAAATATTTATTTATCTTAAATATATTGCCTAGAAATATCTACTCTTACAAACTTATTATTATTACTTTTGCATTAAAAACATGTATGTATTTTTTTAAAAAGACATTTATTCAAAAAAAAAAGTTTAGAAAGGTTATTCTTTGTAAGTGTAAAAATGAAAAAAATCAAAGTCAACATTGTTGACAACATAGGGACCAAAGAAAGCTTTCTATTCATGTTAGAAATACAAAAAGTCTGTTTTCAACTTCGAAAATTATAAAGTTGGATAAGTCACTACCCCAGACAGATTCAATTTATGTCTTACAATTGACAACTTCAATGATGAAATAATTAATAATGGATATTATAAATGATATAAACTGTTAGAAACACTCACTCTTTTTTATTGTGAATCATTAGTTTTCTTCATATTAAAGAGAAAATAAATTTTCTGTGCATGTTGTAAGCAAAACCTTTTCTAGGTATAATGTAATTTGAGTTCACCTTAAAAAAATCTTTTTTTGTGTTTAACATATTTGCACAATAAATGCTGAATATTATATTCATTTAAGATTTGACAAGAAACCAAAAATCAAAATTACATCAAAAGAAATACTTGTTAGTTTTCACATCAATAAGGAATATGATTCAACTGTATATTCATGCTATTATCAATTTTGAGAGTAATTACAATTTATTTTTCACTTATCAATTTTGCAAAACATTGAGCAATTATTGTTATAAAAAAAATATGGGTACAACATTTACCATTAAGTTTTTTTAAGGGACCACTACATTCCTAAGATATGTAACTAAGTGGGGAGAATCCAAAGAAAACCAAAGCCTCTTTAGTCTATCACATATGTGCAGCCAGTTAACAGAATCAAAGAACATGCCAAATTTCTTCATTATGTTTCTCTTCTAGGATATCCTATCCATTCAACAACAACCAATAAGAAGTATACACACAGCAGCAGAATTATACTTTCAAAAAACAAGTGATGCAAAACTGTTCTGAAAATAATAAGAATGAAAATGATAAGTTTTCTCATGAATTTAATACAAATGTTATTTAAAGCAGAAATCTATGAAAAATAAAATATAACATGATAAAATCTAAGAAGTGAAAATCTTTTTTCTTTTATGTGAGTCAAAAATTAATATAATTTATCAATAACTTAATAAATTATTTATTTTAAAAATACATAGACCATCACTAATAAAGTT